TTCCTGTTGTCTTTCCCTCCACAGGTTCCAGTTCTTCCAGTCTACCTCCATTTCCAGTCCATGTCCAGAGTGCCCCAATAGCCCCTATAAAACTACCATCCCTCTGGATGATGACAGCAGATTCCCTATGGGTCTCTTGGTCCCTCCTATGGGTTTCCCACTCTCTTCTGCACCCACTAGTCAGATAAATTTTTTAAACATGCAAGATGAATGTGCTGCCTTGGCTGCTTTTCTCATAGAATCCTTCAGGCATATTTTTGATGCAGAAAGTGGAAGTGGGGAGCTTGTTTGGATCATGGGCACTTGCAATGAGTATACTGTCATGGGTGGGCAGGAGGGGAGGGGGGATCTAGGACTTGGGAGCAATTCATGTGGAGCAGTCAAGTGATGAAGGTCCCTGAGTGCAGGGAAATAGAGTGAAGATGGGAGTGCTTGAGTTTCCCCCCCTTTTCTCCACCTGCCTGGGCCTCCCGGAATCCAGCGATACCTTCCCCTTCCCTTACACAAAAGGCAAATCCTGATCAGGAGGACAAGAGTGTCAGGGAGGGTGGATGAGTCTCCCTTCTTTGAGAAACTGAACCCAACCATGTAAACATAGAGTTCTAATAAGGAATTGTCTCACGTGGTTATGGAGGCTCAAGATGCTTTGGGTAAAACTCTCAAAAGGCTTACTTGTGCTTTTTCCGCAGTTGACAACAGCCATCTGAAGGTTTGAGTTGTCTCTTAATAATGTCACACACACCCAATAAATAAACACTTATGACAATGGCCAATATTTGGTACAGTGACAACACCAAATGCTGCCAAGGATATGGAATGGCAGGAACTTGCATTCATTACCTGTGGGAAAGTGAAATAGTACAGTCGCATTGGAAGCTGTTTGGGCAGTTTCTTAGAATAGTAAGCATAATTTTAACATATGACTCAGCAACTCCATAAATCTTTACCCCAAGTTGATGATGTTGTATCTGTGTAGGCACATCTATTGTTAAAAATGTACCACTCTGGTTGGGGACATTGATAATGGCAGAGGGGCATTATATATGTGAGGGAGTAAGGACTTACTAGGATATCTGTATACCATCATCTTTATTTTTCTCTGCCATCTAAAAGCGTTGTAAAAAATTAAGTCTTAAAACAAACACAATATGAACCATTATATCTGAACAACAAAATTTGAGCAGGCCCTAAGGGAGACTGAAAAATTGTGATGAGCTGGCATTTGTGTCTGGGGTGGGAGTAGGGGGAGTAGGGAAGTTGGGGGGGCTATAAGCTGTATGACACACATGACAGGGAAAATAGGAAGAAGGATTTTAAACTTATGCTCTATATCTTGGCACAAATGTTGGACATTCAGACCACAAATGCCAATAACCTTAAGGGAATACCACTGCTTTGGGAAAGCTGGGACAGTTGAGGTATGTTATTCAGAGTCTATGCCAATAACCACCTGACAACCATCTTGGTGGGTTAGTGCTGGCTTTTCAAAAATTATTATCTGAATAGTATGTAAAGAACAGACTAATTAGAATAGTGAGTAGCAGAATAAATCATGTATGCTAAGAGTTAGTATTCTCTTATAAAATACCTGGGATAGTATATCATATAGAAATAAACATATAAATGCATATGTTCCATCCTATACCAATGAAAGACAAACTTGCAAATTGACCATACTTTCGCTACGCCTTAAGCCACGCCCACTAGCCAATCATAACGACTATATGCAAAATAACCCAACGAAGATGGCGGCTAGCAGCCAAGGAGCTGGAGCGAGCAGGAGGCTTACTTGCTCCAGTGATGGAGGAAGCCAAGATTCCCCGCCTGCCACAGCCTGGCTCTGAGCTCCACTGAAAACAACAAAGTTTCAATTATAGAAGTTAAACAAACCCTAGATACCTGCTTTTAACCAGTCATGGCCACGGAGCTGGAGCAAGCAGGAGTGAGTTGCCCCTGGCGATGGAGGAAGCCAAGCTTTCCAAAGGCCTCTGCTAAAGGCAACAAAGTTTCAATTATAGAAGGAAATAAATCCCAGAATAAAAAAATAAAAGAAAAAAGGAGAGGCTGGGACTTACGTCACCAGGGTGCTCGGCCAGCCTGAAAACGGCCCTCAGTCCCTCACCCAGACTGGCCAGGCACCCCAGTGGGGACCCCCCACCCTAAAGGGGGTGTGGCCAGCCTGAAAACAGCCATCAGCCCCTCA